TTTCCACACGTTCGTGCGGTCATCTGACGACGAACGATGTAGGAAGTGAAGGGAGATCATGCGGTCATCTGACGGTGATCTTCTCGGCACAATTATCTTCTAGAGATTTTCCACACGTTCGTGCGGTCATCTGACGACGAACGATGTAGGAAGTGAAGGGAGATCATGCGGTCATCTGACGGTGATCTTCTCGGCACAATTATCTTCTAGAGATTTTCCACACGTTCGTGCGGTCATCTGACGACGAACGATGTAGGAAGTGAAGGGAGATCATGCGGTCATCTGACGGTGATCTTCTCGGCACAATTATCTTCTAGAGATTTTCCACACGTTCGTGCGGTCATCTGACGACGAACGATGTAGGAAGTGAAGGGAGATCATGCGGTCATCTGACGGTGGTCTTCTCGACACAATCATCTTCTGGTGATTATCCATAATTTTATCCACATGTTCGGACCTAATATTGAGCGCTGGAAGACGCAACTCTCCTGGTGATTATTTTCAGCGAAAAGGTAGGCTACTGAGCTTATTTTATGTTTTTTTTTATTTTTATCACTTCTAAATTGTAATACATTATTTTGAACCTAAACAAAAATGTGTAAATAGGACCAGCAAAAGAAGTATTGATAGTTTTCTATGTATTTGCAAAACGATTTTAGAGTGGCAAATTAAGGCTTATTTTTGTACAGTATATTATAGATTTCACGAAAGGCAGACTGCCAATTTTTTCGGCGGCTTTATTAAGTGCTCGAAGCTGAAATGGTTAACGGTGGGGCTAAATTTAATTGTTTATTTATTTCTAGCTCGCATAAGCATAACTGACAGCCAATTTGTTTTATCCAGAATGGCGACAAATGAAGTGAATAAAACATTGATGGCTCTGCGGCATCAGTATAGAAACGCCGTTTTTTTTTGTATCAATAAAGAAATATAATGCTAAATTTATTGCGGAACTAAATTGTGATGTCGGGAAAATCAATTCATAATTATCGGGCGTAACGATACCAGAGATATCATCTTAAGACTACCCGAAGAAAGAAATGACTTCGAAATTGATATTGGCAGAAAACAAGAGTTTACAACAGAAAATCATTGGAAACTTTACGCAGAACCCAAAAGGTCTTAAAAATCCACAAACTATTCGAAAAGATAAGATTAACTCACTTGTAAATCTTTTTTCACAATAATTTCCTTTTTAGAATCTTTCAAAACTTTGAAAAAAAAGATCAAAGAACCCTCTCAAAAAAAAACTTCCTGGTTTGTCATTTATGCTTTTTGATGTTTTTTTTTTTAATTCATTTAACTTACTTTTTCTTTGGTTTATTTTCAACTTCATTTTTATTATAGATTCAGTAAAAAAGGTTTTTATTTTTTTACTTAGACTTTATTTATAACTTCAATTTCTTCCATAATATACAGTATATTACTTTTGATATCAAAAATTATTTTTTAACAATATATTACAATACATGTTATATAATCAAGTATTAAAATCAAATCAATATTAGCAACAAAAAAAATAAATGAATTTAATATTTTTATATATTTAAAAAAATATATTAATTTAAAGTTAAAAATTATATTTAAATTTTTTATTAAAGTTTTTATATATATCTTATTACATATATAGTATATTAAAGTTTTTATATATATCTTATTACATATATAGTATATTAAAGTTTATTTAAATAATTTGCTTCTTTTATTTATAGTTTTATTCCAATTATATCAGTTTGTATCCAGTAGATAAATCCATATATCAAATAAGATTTTTAAGAAATAAAAATCCTATTATTAGAAAAATTTATTTAAAAAAAAAAAACTTTTTTTATAAAATTTTTTTTATGAAAATTGTCTTTTTAAAAATCTTTTCTCTTTCAAGAAAACTTTGACTTGCAGATTATATCTTTAGAAGTTGAAATATAATTAATATAATTTGAAAAATTATAATTGAATAATAAGAATTTCAATAATAATTTATTTAAGAAGATTTAATTCTTGTAAAAGTATTGATTAATATCTTAGCTATTAGAAAATAATAAAAACTTTTTTTTTATACTAAGGCCTTTTTTTAATACTAAACAAATACAAATCATATACAATATTTTTTTTTTTAATAACTATATATCTATTAAGAAATAGTATTTGTTTTTTTTAAGTTTTTGTTTTTTATTGATAATGATTAGTATAAGATTTTTTATATTCTCTAATTAATTAATAGCTCTTATCATTTTCTATATCTAAAATTTCTTTTAATTCTTATACAAAAACTCTTTATACAAAAAATCAAAATCAATTTATTTTATTAAAAGATATATAATATATAAAATACTAATTATATTTCATATCACTCATTTATATCAAAACAATATAACAATTTATTGGATTAAAGAGTATATAACTAATATTTTATATAAGTTCCAGTATGGCTTTAGCAATTAACAATATTCAAAACAATATAATAAAACATTGAAACAAATATTAATACTTAATTCAACAATATAAAAATACAATTAAATAATTTAATAACAACCATGAAAATTTATATATTTAAACTTAAACTTAAAAGTTATATATAGTTTGTATAATACCAACTATATTTGTAATATAAATTATTTTATTGTTAACTCAATTACTAAAATTCTCAAAAATAATTATATCTAAATTAATTATATATAAGATATCGAAATAATATAGTAAATTTAAGTATTGAACTAATATCAAACTGGTATCAAACTGATATCAAAATAGTATTGAAATAATATCATTAGGAGCCCTAATTACTGTATATGTTTTAATAGTAACTCAATTAATTATATCAAATAATTGCATTAATTATATCAAGAATTTATTAATTTTTGTTATATATATAATGTTGACATCTAATTGAACTTATATATATATATTTAAAAATCATATCTAATAGCAGTTATAATATTTATATTTTATCAACTCTTTTTATAATATTTATTTATAAAATAATAATCATATTTAAAATATTTTTTTGTTTTTATTTTTTATAATAAATAATTTCTCAAGTTTTTTTTTTTAAAAATTTTTTCTTTAATATATCTGTTTTATAGATAATAGATTAATATTTATAGTAATATAATTAATTTTTTATTTATTTACTATATAACAAGTTAAACTTTTATTATATTAATAAAGATTATAAATAATGTTTCACTTTAATATTAAAAAAAAAGAAAATTCTATTACTAGTTTATATACTATTTAATTTAATATATTTTTTTTTATAATTAAACAAGTGCATATATTTATTAAATTTTATAAAAAACAAATAATAAGGTAAGTATGCCTAATTTGACGCAGTATCTAAATTGACGCATCTTTAATACTGTAGAAGTCCGAAGCATA